TTTGGTAATAACAACAGCTCGTGTTGGTTACATGCTATGCGACAGATGCCACTCTGAGCATTTCACATGGATTTCCCCATACAATTTTTGAAACAATTCTGGAGAGTGGACGCTATTGTTATCTCTATTTTATAGACAAAGAAACTGAGGCCCAGAGAGATGAAGTAGTTTGAGCAGAGCTACATAGCTGAGAAAGTGGCAGAATGGGGAAGCAGAGTCTTGCTCTAGCGTCCATGCTTTTAACCTTTCTGCCGGCAGACGGCAGACGGCAGAGGGTCAGACAGTGCATGCCTTGCAAAACTGCAGGAGCCGGGTTCTTGGCTTATCAAAGGTGCTTACACGAACACCTTGGACTGGGCCCTTGCAAGAAGCAAAGAAACAGGGCGGAAATGTCATTCCCCAAACCCCTCCTGCCACACAGAGGTAATCATTTCTACTTAAAGCAGCCTTGCCTGGGATGCAGTCTGGCAAGGGCAGAGCCCTACTGTTCCAGGTGTCCCAAAGCTGAGGGAGAGATTGGTGCCACCAAGCTGAGGGTGAAGGCATGAGCACAAAGCCTGTGGCTAAGAGACAGAAAGCATATAAGTGGACCCCAAATTCAAGCAGCTGGACGCCACTACATCTTGGCTTTTAGTCCAGAGTGGCCAGAGATCATATCTACCAGCATCTAGCTGGGTTTTTTAAGGGGTTTTATTGCCAAGGAAATGTTTATGGGCTGCAAACAGGAGCCTGGGATTCCTCAGCCTCTACAGAAATTTCCAGGCTTCCCTCCTAGAACCATGCCAACAGGAAGCAGCTACCGCGTGGACACACCCTGCTCAGGCACAGACATGGAACACCCTGTTGCAAAGCAGAACCAAAGCCTTCCAGATTCGCTGGCCCCAAAGCCCACTCCTCTACTTGGGCAGGGGGGTCCCTGCTAGCCCCGACCAGCAGGGAGAATCCCCACATTTTGGACCAGTGAGCACTGTCCATAGTTTTCTCTTTCTTTTCCCAAATGGCAATGTGTTACCTGCAGTGCCTCAGTTTCCTCAGCTGTAAAGTGGGGATAATATTTATATTCACCACGTAGGATTGACGTGAGAATTAAATAAGTTAAATATAAAATGCTAGATGCTATTCCTGGCATAGAATAAGTGCTCGATTAGCACTGGGTGTTGTTTTTCTGGGCCAGCCATCATCCTCCTCCACCATGTCCTAGGTGTGTGGGGAATGGTTATTTATTCGTGGATTGTCAGAACTGAGTGGCCACCCATGGGCTTAGCAGGGATGAACATCCCCTAATAATGTTGGCCTTGGGAATCAGTAAGGCATATCACCCTTAGGTACAATAGCTGGTTCAGATTTTTAATTGTCCCTTGGTGAGAAAGTTGGGTATATCTTTGTATTTTTATGGGGCAGTAGCATTATTTAACAGTGGGATCCCTGTTAAAATTGTATGTATAAGAAGAAGAATGTGTGTGTATGCATATATGTGTTCCCACACATTGGGCAATCAAAGACTGGAAAGAAATGAACATGGATGGGTAGTAACATGACCTAGTAACTGAACCTTACTTTGTGGCACTGTCCCCCACACCCCCTCCCAGCCTCATGGCCAGAGTTATAACAAACAACACAAAGGCAAAGAGCTTTGTGTTTCTGTGTCCTGGAGTGAGGGGTGCTTAAAAGGTGGGAAAAGTTTGAAAATGTAGGAGCAGATCATGGTGGGCCATAATTGCTATCCTGTGGGATTTTGGCTTTATTCTTTTATTCAGAATTATAAGGACTCAAGGACTATACCACAGAGCTAAAAAAAAAAAAAAAGATCCAGGGATGCTAAGGATCCCAACTAGTCTTCCCAACACATCTATTCGTTGCAGATCCCACTCTTCCAAGCAGCTCTTGTTACCTGCGCCACCCAGTTTGGCTCTTCCTGCCAACGGGGCTGCTCTCTCCCTCACTGGCTCCTGGGCGTTCCTCTTTCATCCCCTGTGAAGTAGGATCCTCACTGGAAGGACCATCTCAAGCTTCCCCTACACGGCCCTGAGCAAGTAGCTGGTACAGAGAACACACAACAAGAACGGATTTAGAACTATTTTATTTGAAGAGATTTTCTTCTACAGCTGTAGTTATAAACACAAAATGAATGCTATTACAGTGAGTGCTTCACAGGCGTCATTGTATTCAAATGTATCATATGATAATGTTTATATTTTTAAGCTACACTTGAAATTAAAGACTCAATATAACCTTTGAACAAAGTATCAGTCATAACAAAACGTAACTATTCGTTCTACAGAATATCATTTTCCCTAACATGACTACTAGATATGAAAACAGTGTAGGGGCAGCTAAAATGCCCTCTTCTTAAGGTTGTTTTATAGAAAAAAAAAATGACACAATAATACAAATCACATTTTCCTTTTCTTTGCTAGTAATAAACGATGGCATCCATTTGAGAAAGCACCAGCCAACACTACAAGTCATATCAGCACCCTTCTGCTCTTCAAAATTGACCATCTTTTATAGTGTTTCCTATAGGAATGAATAAAAATGGTTATGTCAAGTATAAAAGTCGGCATGTGTCAGTGTGAACTTCGTGTTCCTAAGTTAACATAAGAAAATACAAAATGAATACTCTTATGTGAATGAAACATAAAGATGGAAAACCACACGCTTCATGATCATCACAAAGGCAAATTCAACTGATGCTTAGGACCATTTCTTTCCCTTTCCTTGCCCCTCCGCCTTTTCACTCAGCACTTTTCAAACTGTTGAGCCCTTAGCTCAGCTGTGCCCTTGGCTGCAAAGGCTGTGGTGCCTGGTGAGTATTTTTTAATAAAGCAGATTACATGTAATTTTCTTTTTTTTTTCTCACAAAAATGAAGTACAGACAAGACTATGAAAAGTAATGAGGGGAAAAAAGCATACAGCAAAAAACTAAAACATAAGATATGGTGTTCATGTGAAAAAAAAAACAAAACTGGTTCGTGATGATTGTTAATAAATCACAGAGCAAAAGACAGATTTGGCCGACACTGAAGAGGCCACCAGACCAGAGAGCTCCAACGTGCCTGACAAAAGTAGGCATCTTTGAGAAGGATGCCCTGGTAAAGACAATGACACTGAACATTTTTACAAGGCTGTAAACTCTTCAAGGTCATGGACTGTGGCTTATTTCCATCTGTATTCCCAGTTCTTAGCACTGTCTTGCACATGACAGGCACTCAGTAAGTATTTCCGGCTAACAGGGAGCTGAGCTGAATCCACTCAAAGTGTACCCACCTAGGTAATCCACTCCTGTACCCGAGGCAAGGATGACAAATAGGCTACATTTTGCTCTGACGTATTGGAAATAGATGGCTAGGAGCATGGATCTGACACAGATTCTAAGACCAAAATCCTAGCACACAGGAAAGGAGTGCTACACTCTTTCATAATGCCACCCTGAAAGAATGGTGGCACAGATGTTATATATGCCCTATCCCTGGTTTAGGAAAAAGGCACCCAACACTCACTGGTATTCCCTTTACGTTGCTATACTGCCTCTCAAGCGAATGGCATTAAGCCACCATTCATTAAAATGCTGGTTGATCAGGAAGACCAAGGCCTTTCTTTTCAATTTAACTCTTTGGCCAAACAGGTAGGGTCATCATTTTACCTGGAAATCTGAAAACACGGCATGCACAATGTTCAATAAGCATTGTTTACTGAAAGAGCATAGGCATTTACTTGATTACTCCCTTTACAGAGAAAAAAGAACTTTCTCTATCTCGGTACTGTATAGCTTTAATCATCTAAGGCATTTGGAATTACTTGGGATCTTGGTTGTTTAAAAAACAAAAATGGCAGAGTTAAATTCTCTTTGGTTTTCTTGCTTCATCTTAAGCCTTTTATTTGTTTCTTACTAGCATCCATAACCATGTCAGTGCTTCATTGTATGACTACTTGACCAATGCTGTTGAAATAACTCTCATAGTCATCAGAAAACCTTTTTAAAAGATGCTAAGGGGAGAGGCCTCTGAAACTAAGGGAGTCGAAAGCCAGGAAGAATGGCAGGAAGAACCAGCAACCTCCTTCTACCAACCCACACTCAGGTCTCACTCACTACCACTGAGACCATTCTCTATGGTGGTTCAGGCCAGGGGGCTGCCACGGGGGTCCTCCCGTCAACTCCCTTTCACAGAGTGGGAAGTCAGTGTCCCTCAGAAGCATCTTAGAAAAAAAAAAAAGGTAAAGCATTTAGAGAAGGGGAATAGGAATGAAATAGAGAGACATTCTCAAGAAGTAAAAGACAGTCCTGGGGAATGAAGGGAGATGTTCAAATAAACATTGCCTTCATCACCATAGGCTGAGTCTTCACTGTAACACTGGCACCAACAAGAGAGCAGAGCTAAACTAGAACTACCCTAAAATCTCAACATAGCTGACAATGTCACAAAACGCACAGATCAGTTCCTATTGCACATTCCACCTTTTCCAAGTACTACTGGCAGCCTAGAATAACAAAAGCTTGTTAGAAGTCTGTGTATCTTAGAGAGAGCTACAATATGCAAGCATATACACATACACACACACATATATGCACATACACACACACACACACACACATAAAACCTGGTTTGTAAAAAAGCTTTGTGGATCAGAGTAGACCTTCACTGGGTCCAAGAATCTAATTCTCAGCATTAAGAAAACAGACCCAAAGACTATCATCAGGAAGAGAACTGGTTGGCAGGAATAATAACATTGTAGTTTATACAATGTGGTTATTTTTACAAGCTAATATCCAAGTGTTTGTCTGGTACTAATTCAACTGTCTGGAGTCTTCCAAATATATAGGCTTAGTTACACCTTTAAAAAGTTAAGCTCTACAGCAAAGGAAGTTAACACCATCTAAAATAAATTAGATTTTTAAATATACGTAATGAAATTATAGGTTACTGGAAATTCTACAGTGGATATAAATTAATATAAATCTATTATTTAAGTACTATTCCTGGGAAGATTTAAGTTCAGACTTTTTTTTAAAAAAAAACCATAATATTTGGGAATAAATGGGCACAGATTAGAAACCCTTAAAAAGTGTTATAAGTTGACTACTGGTGAGGTTATTTGGTGACAAGATACAAAGATCTGTTTCTATGTCCAAATAAAGGCTTACCTCATTTTACCGAATACAAAATATACCTGCAAAGTTATGCAAATAGGATTTTTATAACTAAACCTTTATTTTAAATATACTAGAGGCTATAGTAGCAAAGAAACCCTGTAGTGACTCCTCTAACAAACTGAGAACTCTGTTCTGTGATTAGCTCCCCAGTCCTACAACTGCACAGTGAATGGCATACTGCAGGCACTCAGTTAATGTTTGCAGAAGGCATGAATCCGCTACACATTGTTGTTTTTCTACGGGACTTTCTTAGCGAGGCACGCCGTAACTCACATGGTTCTGCCTGCTGTTCGTGCAGAAAGATGGAATCCAGCTCACAGTTTCAACTGATTCCATTACAAAATATCAGATAGTTTCAGAAAGTGTTTTCCAATCAAAATAAAATTGCCATAAGCATGAGTACAAACATTTTTAGGGGATGCTGGTCTAAGATTGGCAGAAGCTTTGTTAATTGACTTAGTGAAAGCAAATGACTGCATGAGCTGAGTTCTATTTAATAACCAAGGAAGCAAAGCGCTTTACCTAACTCCACAAATACTACCAGAGGCCACTCTACTTCTGTTAGAGCTTCTTCTTCTCTCCAGCACAAATGTTTTTTACAGCTGTCCTCACCTTAGCCCACAAAAGCAAAACATGAATTACAAAGCTAAGATTAAATTAGAAAACTGCCTGACTTAAATATGATAAAGTTGTTTTTTTTTTCAGTCTTAAATAAGAACTAAGTCAAATACATTCAATAAAAGTAACTCTTAAAGGCGATTTTGTTTTCTTATTTGGTATTTCTTTCCCTTTCCATTTAAATTTTAAGACTTAAGTTTTAAAAATATACACACATCCATCCTTTTACACAAATGCTCTCTTTTATACAGAAGGCTTTAGCAATGCAACTTATGTGACCTCATAAATATGTAATCTGCCACATAAACAAGAAGTTATATCAGTCTATTCAACCAGCATTTGTAATCACAAAAAAAGACTGGAAGAATAGCTGATAATGTTTTTATGCAAGTTTTTGGGATAAGTGAATCCTGCAAGGATTCACTGTAGGCTTCCATTGCTGTAAGTTTCCTGAAAAGTCGTGTGCAAATAAAATATCTGAACATAGAACCCTATTTTAAATATGCTGGAAGTATGTACAGAAATACGTACTTCTATATGCTGAGAGAAAGGAGGGAGAATGACAACGTCATTTTTGTCAAGTAAACTGATAAGAAAAAAGAAAATCTCTCTCTGAAGGTGCTAATGATATTTCAAGGGACCTAAAGAAAACAGGTTTTAAAATCATCTTTACCATTCATTCTAATTGTTGACTTTGGCCCTTTACCAAGCAGACAAAATAAATCTACTTTTTGATGATCCGTTTTAGTCATTGGCCCAAGGGTGTCATGTCTGGAAGAAACATCATCATGGATTTGCTCCCATAATTTAAAAAATAACAAAGCTGGTCTCTTTTGTCCACAAGGTTTCAAGTAATTCGTTCAAGTAAGCTTATTTACAGCTACCACTGCATGTAAGGTGACGTACTTTAACCCATATTTTCCCTTTAGAAATCAGTCTCCCTTGAAATGGGACATCACGCTTTTGTGGTTTTTTTGTTGTTTTTGTCTCAAACCAGGTTTCTTTTAAATACTAAGTCACTCCAGTCATGTTTCTGTTTTATTGGGCAGATAAAGAGAAGAAACCAGCAAGTTATGTCCAAAGGCCGGGAAACGCCTGAATGCTTCCCAGCTATCCGCAAAGATGTTGTACTTGAGGAACACGCGATGCTCCAGGCTGGTGGACAGGGTGACGTCTCTGCTCATGATGTAGATGCCGTCGTTGTGGAGCGCGCAAGTCAGGTTAAGGCCCGATTTGGACGTGTTCTCCTTGAGGTAGAGCCACTGCCGGGTGATGGTGTTGTAGGACTGCACGGTGAGCGTGTCCTCGCTCTGGCTGCTCCGCCGGTTGGGCCCCGGTTCGTGGAGACACCCCCCAACGATGTAGATGGTCTCCTCCACAGACACCATCTGTTGCTTGCGAATGTGAACGTCGCAAGTTTCAAAGAGCGTCCAGATGTCAGAAGAGGGGCAGTACTGCAAAATGTTCATGTTCCGGTCTGAAACAAAGAAGCCGAACAATGACACCGCCACCAGCAACGCCAATGACTCCCTGGCTGTAGCAGGTAAACGTTTACCTCTCTGCATGCATCATTTCCTCACAAAGAGGCAAAATTATTTCAGAAGAGCAGAAGTAGGAGAAACATTTAGGTTCATCCCCTATCCGCCTAGGCGTGTCCCCTCCTTGGGAGACTTAAGAATCAATCAGTAAAGCAGCTGTGGGTGGCACACAGCCCCTCCTCCTGGGCACTCTCACACCTCCGAACTACCAGGTCGACGTGAAAGAACAAGAGCTTCAGAACCCTCCTCAAAAGCTACAGAATTACTCACTACTTAATACAGAAAATAAACTGTGCCTAGAGGGGATCTATTCTTGACAGCTGATCCTAAAAAAAACATGACAAGTAGCCATTTCAAAACCAGGATTTCCAGGAGCTATCTAGACAAACGGACACAAAGTTACAAGTCAGGAGAAATGCAAGAAAGTTTCACCTCAGGCCTTCCAACACACCATGGAATCAGTTGGCAATTCTGTTTCCCAATTGTTAGCACCCCAGAGACACTTACAAAGTCCCTCTCCCCTTGCCTGTTCCACCACAGATGGGGTTAGTTGTTGTGTGAATGGAACCAAAGACTAGATGAAAGGCCACTCAGATGTTATTTTTAATGAATAGCAATTATCCTTTTTTATTTTTTAATTTTTATGTTTTTAAGAGGCGGAAGTCTCGCTCTGTCATCCAGGCTAGAGAGCAATGGCACAATCATAGCTCATTCCTTGAACTCCTGGGTTCGAGTGATCTTCTTGCCTCAGCCTCCTGAGTAGCTGGGACTATTGGTGCACACCACTATGTTTGGCTAATTTTTTTAAATATATTTTGTCAAGACAGAGGTCTCCCCACACTGCTAGGCTGGTATCAAACTCCTGGGCTCAAGCCATCCTCCTACCTCAGCATCCCAATGTGCTGGGATTACAGGCATGAGGTGCCACACCCAGCCAACAGCAATTATCATTAAGGAAAAATGCTACTTAGTCTCTTTTTGAAAAATGCTTGTGAAATTTAGAATATCTAGCTTTGCTTTTTTTTTTTTTTTTTTTTTCTTTTCCCTTCTAGGAAAGAATAAATAAGTAGTTTAGCCTCAGCAGGAAAAAAAATGCTCTGAGTTATACAAAGAATGAACTAGGAGCTGGCATACAACTAAAGACTGCAGCATTTCAATTGCTGCAGAAGCTGGTAAGAGAAGACAGCTCATTTTCTAGAAAGGCTTTTGCCTCCTTCGGTACTTCTGCCTGAGACAGAAGGACACACCCATAGTTAGCAATGCGTGAGAGGAGCTCCACAGCCAGAGCTGGTACCAACTAAAGAACCTCCTAAGAGGTCCGAGAGACCAAATTCTATGTGTGCACATGTCACTATGCCTGTCGAAATTTCAGAAGTGTTATAGCTTTAGAAAACTGTCCTTCTGATTTCCACCCACATTAATACCTTTCCATATTTCTTTTTACTGCAGCTGTCGTGGTAAAGACCATTCTAGGAGATAGCCTAAGGAGAGTTTGGTTACTGATCTATCAAAAAGTGCTCCTTGGTAACCTGGCTTCCCACCGAATGAATAAAGGGCTCATCTTGGTGAAGCTTTCACGTATTTCTCAGTTCCAGGACCAAAGGTCTTTCCAGGTCTCCTGTAAATGTTTTCTCTCCTCGCTCAACAAGGGCTCAGACCACGATGAGGTGGTTGGAGCTGGTGGAATGATTTTTTTGTTTTCATATTTAAAGTTGATTCTCAAGTTCGGCAAATCACCCTTCTCCTCTTGCCGGTCACTATTACAGTCTATTGAATTTTTTCAGTGCCTGCCAAAGAATTAAAATGACTACCATCGTCAAATGACTACCATAAAATTCATGAATATTTACTGAATTTTAAGAGTCTCACCTAACTTAAGTCAGCAGCCTAAAAAAAAAAACCACTTTAAGTCCTGATTTCTTTTTTTCTTAACAGTCATGATGACATGTTTTAAATACAGGGAACTGTTAGAAAACGCTGGGGAAAGCCCCAGGAGAGTAGGAAGAGGGCTTCAGAGTACAAGGAACTGCCTTGCTCTGTCATCTTGGAAAACTAGTTTTCAGCCTTTACACAAACAGCCATCCATCCACGTCACCTAACAGTCCCATCGTGGGTATTTGGCTCAGAAGTCCAGGAGAGAAATCACAGTGGGTGGCCCAAGTGGGGAAGGTACATTAGCAGTGGCTTGTGAAGCTACAAAACACACAAGAAGGGTTTTCTAGGTCAAATCTAAAGAACATTTGCTCAGCCAGGGTCATGGAAAAACTAGGAAATCTAGCAGCAGAGTACTCTTCAGGTTACAGTGCTGCCTGTCGGCGCTTTACAGCTCCTGGTTAAAAGAGAAGTCGAGAGACACATGGACGTCAGCCTCAGGATGCATTCTGTGTCACTCAAACTACGGAGGAATCAGAATGTTTAGAAACGTGCATAGGTAAATGGCTAAATAGCTGCGTTTAATTTCCTAGAAGAAAAAACACACACACACACACACACACGGGAGGGAAAATACATACACACACAGGAGTTCTGGGGGAAGGGGGCTCTATGCCTTAGTCTAAGAATATGAAGTTGGTCCCTACAACCTGAACACCAATGTTGAAGATAAAGGAAATGACTGCTAAGGCTCATAATTTTTTCAATTATTTGTTAAAAAAAAAAAAGTGGCAATTATCTTCAGTGGAGAGTCACTAGAGAAGGACACTGGAATAGGTCCACAAGTGATGAAAACTTGAGTGGGGGTGGGGTGGAAGGAAGGCTCCTTGCTTTCAGTGTACTCCTCTTCATCACTGCCTCTCCTTATGAGTATAAATACGCAAATCACCTGTGGTGGGTTGAGTGGTGGCCCCCAAAGAGACATGTCCTCTTCCTAATCCCTGGAACCTGTGACCGTGATCTTATTTGGGAAAAGGGTCTTTGTAGATGTAATTATGGATCTCGAGATAAGATCACCCTAAATCCAATGACAAGTGTCCCTGTAAGAGACACAGCAGAAGACGAGACACAGAGGAGGAGGCCATATGAAGATGGAGGCAGAGACTGGCATTATGCAGCCACTAGCCAAGAACACCTGTAGCCACCAGAAGCCGAAAGGGGCAAGAAAAAATTCTCCCCTGGAGCCCTCAGAACGAGCACAATCCTGACAACACCTTAATTTCTGACTTCTGGCTTCCAGAACTATGAGAGAATACATTTCTGTTATTTTAGGACACCAAGTTTATACTAATTTGTTACAGCAGCCACAGGAAATGAATATACTGCCCACCGTAAGAGGTACTCCAAGAAATGTTAATCAAAATCTTTTATGCTACAAAAAATTAAATCAGGCCGGGCACAGTGGCTCACGCCTGTAATCCTAGCTCTCTTGGAGCGAGGTGGGCGGATCGTTTGAGCTCAGGAGTTCGACAAACCTGAGCAAGAACGAGACCCTGTCTCTACTATAAATGAAAGAATTAATTGGTCAACTATATATATAAAAAAATTAGCGGGCATCGTGGCGCATGCCTGTAGTCCAGTACTCAGGAGGCTGAGGCAGGATTGCTTGAGCCCAGGAGTTTGAGGTTGCTGTGGCTAGGTTGACACCATGGGCTCACTCTAGCCTGGGCAACAAAGTGAGACTCTGTCTCAAAAAAAAATAAAATAAAATAAAATAAAATAAAATCAGATGCTCATAAAATATTTCATGTTTAACTTCTTCCTCTAACAAAATTCCCCAAAACATCAATTCACATTGTATACCTATATCAAAACATCACATGTACCCTATAAAGATATACAACTCTTATGTATCCATAATTATTTTTTATTTATTATACTAGATTTTTTTTATGTGGATTTAGTGAACTTGAGTTTATTTGGGAAATAATTAATTTATTTTTTCAGCATATTATGGGAGTAGAAATGTTAAGGTTACGTATATTGCCCTTGCTGTCCCTCCCCCCTTGAGTCAGAGCTTCAAGTGTGTCCATCCCCCAGTTGGTGCGCATCACGCTCATTATGTATGTATATGCCCATCCCCTAATAATTTTTTTAAACCCAAAACAGGACATATTTGGATATGATGAAAAGAATTTTTTGTCACCTATTGAACACTATTTTTGCATGTAGATTTCTGTCCTTTATGAAGTTACCTATGGCCACTTGCAGCCTAACATGGTTTTCTTCACACTTATGTCAGCCAGGGTTGGAATGCTCTGTCCTGACCACACTGTACCATCAGGGAGTGTTAGGTTACTTCATACTGTCAAATACAAGGGCAACTCTAATACTTCAATGCGGCTAAAAGTCCGAAAAGAGTCCAGCTATACTTTTTCTGTAAGTCCGGGGCTCTATACCGTCAGATAGAGCAAATGCAGAAATACATTTCCTTGGCCAACAGACAACTTGGAAGCAACTGCTTCGGCAGGACGGGGGAGGCAGGAAACCACCTCTCCGCTTGGCTGTCCACCATCGGCTGCCTTCCCACAGTCATGCTGCTCCCATCACCATTACCTGAGATGGTTCCCTACCAAGAACAGCAGTTTCAAACTTGCTGGAGAAAGATTTTATTTCCAAATTATTAACTATATAATGCCCACACATGTGCAGTTTAATAAATAACATCCACCTCCCACTGCTGGTCAGGAAAGAACCCTCTTGTATTCATGTTCTTGCTCCTTCTATGATGCATGAACAGTGCCCTGGAGCTGGGTTCCTGGAACCTCTGTCTGTTGTGTTGGTGCTCACGAAGGGAGAAAATGAAAACAGGGACCTGCCAGGATGCTCTGGCACCAAGTCCACAGTGTTGGATGGGGGCGGATCTGGCGTATGTTGGGAAGATGGGAGTTACCCGGATGACACTCCTCTTAAGACCTACGAACCTCAGAGAGCAGCCGGGAGACCTGAGCAAACCTCACACACCAGGCCCGGCCCAGTCACAAGACAGCTGACCAACAAGGCTGGTTTTCCAGAAGCAGAAAGAAAATACAATGTTTTCTTCACAGCTCTTCCTACCCATTCAATTCTCATGCTCACACAAGCTCATCAGTGGCCCCTCCTGTCCAAACCATTCCTGCCAGGAAGGACTCTCTTCCTTCCAGATGTGTGAATATACAGGATTCAATGCATCCAGTGACACCCGTGTACACCAGAGAGTTTCCTCTGGCGCCCTCCCGCCCTGCCCAGGCTCCTGAAGCCCACACACAAGCAGACGGCCTACTCGGCCGTTCACTTACCTCTGGTAGTGTATCCTCCAATGACATAAACTTTCCCCTTGCACTCACACGCAGAGAACTCGGCCAGAGGGTTTGGTAGGGGCGCCACAAAATTCCACGCGTCCTGCTCGGGACTGTAACACTCGACGTTAGAAACGGCCTGCCCGCCGATGGCATAGAGCTTTGAATTAACAGCCACAAGTTTGAAGTTAGACCTGAAAGAGAGACACGAGGGCCCACAAGGTCAGTTCCTCTGCTCAGGAAGAAGCATGAGGGTGGCATGAACGACTACAGCGTAGACCCTTGCTGGGTACCTGAAGAAAATCAGCCCTTCAACTTGGGGGCCATTCTGCTGAGGACAAAGGAATGGAAAGGATGGTTTCTCAAATTTCACTCCTTCTGTCCCCAAGACTGCACAGGAATGGCGCATTGTCCAAACGTTAGCAGCTGAAGACAAGCAGTTCACTATAACAAGAAGCAATCTTGCTCTGCCTTAGGCCAGGAACCAAAGACAACTGTGTACACTAAACTCAGTACCTTCTTTCAGGGGCAGGTGCAAATGGCAATCTCCTCTCGGAAGGGCTATCTCACTCTTCCTACTGAGTGGGAAGGTCCCATCTTAGGGAGGACACACAGGTGCTGCCTACACAGATAGGCAGATGCAAAGGCTGGTCCCTGAAGGGTGGTTTGGGAGACCCCTTTTCCACGGGCCCTGCCTCCTCCACTCAGGGCATCTTACCTATTGCTTCACAGCATGTAAGATAGTTGAAAATATTGTGATCCGGCATTCTTAGGGCATGCATGCATGTTTAACTTAACAAATACTTATATCAACAAACACTCATCTGTCATAATAGTAAATAACTTTAAAAAGAGCAATACATTGGTTTCAAGCCCCACAGTCAGTCTAGAATCAAATGCTGCTCTTTTTTTTTTCTTTTTTTTCTTTTGAGACAGAGTCTCGCTTTGTTGCCCAGGCTAGAGTGAGTGCCATGGCGTCAGCCTAGCTCACAGCAACCTCAAACTCCTGGGCTCAAGCAATCCTCCTACCTCAGTAGCTGGGACTCCCAAGTAGCTGGGACTACAGGCATGCGCCACCATGCCCGGCTAATTTTTTTCTATATATATATTAGTTGGCTAATTAATTTCTTTCTATTTATAGTAGAGACAGGGTCTCGCTCTTGCTCAGGCTGGTTTCGAACTCCTGACCTCGAGCAATCCGCCCACCCTCGGCCTCCCAGAGTGCTAGGATCACAGGCGTGAGCCACTGTGCCCGGCCCAAATGCTGCTTATTAGCTTCTGACACTAAGTAAGTCTCATGACTTTTGAATTGAAAAGTAGGCCAAAATTAAGTTGTTTCGATGAAGCATACAGGGAATTAATTGGTCCTTTGAAAGCCAGGAGGCTAAACATTTGGGGGTGTTGGGTGAGCCTGCTGTGGTAAGTGCCACGGTCACAAATCTACAGGAGCATAAGCGGCAGCGTGACGCAACAGGAAAAGACCTGAGCACAAATCAGGAGACCCCGGTCCTAGGCCTAGCTCTGCTGATAACCTGCTATCTCTGACCCTGGCCCAACCACTTCACTTCCTCATCTCTAAAATGGGGATAACAGCCACCACGAAGTGGTCGAGAGGATTAAATCAAAGACTTCATTAGAAAGTACTACACAGAGATAAAATACTATCACTGAAGTTTCTCATTTTCGAGTATTTGAAATAAGGTTGCTAGACCGAGTGAGTTTCGAGGCCACATCTGACTCCAACACAACAATCTCCTCAAAAATAACAATATCCTAAGAAAGAATGGAGGTAGAGGCTTACAAACAAACAAATTACATAAGAGGGTAGTAAAGAAGAAGCCGTGAACAAGTAGACCATGCTTGATCTCCTAATAGGTGTTCGATAAACACTGATGCATTATGATAAACATAGAAATTATATAAGTGATAGCCACTTCCTAAAAAATTAAGATTTTTTTTTTTTTACGACAGAGTCTCACTCTGTTGCCCAGGCTAGAGTGAGTGCCATGGCGTCAGCCTAGCTCACAGCAACCTCAAACTCCTGGCTCAAGTGATCCTTTGCCTCAGCCTCCTAAGTAGCTGAGACTACAGGCATGTGCCACTATGCCCGGCTAATTTTTTCTATGTATTTTTAGTTGGCCAATTAATTTCTGTCTATGTTTAGTAGAGACAGGGGTCTTGCTCTTGCTCAGGCTGGTTTCGACTCCTGACCTTGAGCGATCCACCCACCTCGGCCTCCCAGAGCGCTACGCTTACAGGCGTGAGCCACCGTGCCCGGCCTAAGATTTTTTAAAAGGTTCCTATAATGTTTATATTTAAATGTGTTTTCGTTTTGTTTTTCAAATCAGAGCAAATAGAGTATTCTTCATCAATAGACTCGTCCTGTCCATTAAACCCAGCCAGCCACTCAGTGTTTCATGCCAACAGACTCCACCAGGGTGGCAGTCACGGGGGGTCCCTGATTCATGCTGCTTACCTTCTACTGCCAATGGTCCTTACAGTACGACCATGATGCCCTCTATGTGTGTGCAAATTTGGGGAACCAAAGGAAATAAAGCTTGTAAATAAGCACTAAATTTTAGCAGCCCACAATTTGTTTTTGCTCCCCAAAGGTACACAGATAGTAAATTTTGTGAGATCAAAACAGTGTTTAGTATTTATCCAGAATAATCATTTGTCCTAAGCAAACACGTAAGGGGCTTCTTTTTGAGGCTGAATGAATAGGCAGTTAAAAGTAAAAAAAAAAAAAAATTCCATCTCTCTAGACCCCAACATGCTCAAATTCACTTGAAGAGAAACACTTTTTAATGCTGAATTTATTTCAAGATGAAATTGCCACCTAAAAACAGACCATTTATTAAAGAGGCATACTGCTGGCCGGGCACTCTGGGAGGTCGAGGCTGGAGGATTGCTCAACTCAGGAGTTCGAAACAAGCCTGAGCAAGAGCGAGACCCTGTCTCTACTAAAAATAGAAATAAATTAGCTGGACAACTAAAAATAATATAGAAAAAAATTAGCCGGGCGCATGCCTGCAGTCCCAGCTACTCGGGAGGCTGAGGCAGAAGGATTGCTTGAGCCCAGGAGTTTGAGGTTGCTGTGAGCTAGGCTGACGCCACAGCACTCTAGCTGGGGCAACAGAGTGAGACGCTGTCTCAAAAAAAAAAAAAGCTGTGGTGAGGCTGAGGTGGACTTGATGAAATTTTGAAAAGCAGAACAGTACCACAAACTCTCTAGGCTCTACTTCTTAGAAGCAAATCATTTTCTAAAAAAGTGGGAGGTCAGCACAGCGGCTTACACCTATAATCCCAGCACACTGGGAGGCTGAGATAGGAGGAACACTTGAGGCCAGGAGTTCAAGACTAGCCTGGGCAACATAGCAAGACCCCATCTCTACAAAACAATAAAAATAAAAAAGAGATAAAATGTTTGGTATGAAGATGGTCACTGCAAGTTGATAAGCCAAAACTTATAAGTAATTTCAATGGTTATAACTACTCAATGGATATTTACATTTTGGTTACTGTACTTATTACACATCCTTGAGCAATTTACTTAACTTTTCTGTGCCTTATTTGCTGTTTCTGTAAAATGGGAACCTGCCTAAAAGAGCCCTTGTGAAGAATAAGTGAGATACTACATGCAACGCACTAGAAACTGCACCTGGTACAGATTTAAGTGTTCAATTAAATGCTATCTATTGTTATTTCTCAGCTACTCTAAATAAATATAATGAGTGTGACAGGTAAAAATGTTCACTAGAATATTACAAAGAAGAATATAAAATTATTAAATATATATTCACATTTGTTACAATAATGTAAAAATATATTGCATAATTGTTTAAAAACACCCATGTATTGTAAGCACCTACTCCTTGTTAGCAGCAGGCATACCCATAAGCATTGAATAAGTCCTAGTTCCCCACTGGTCAGAAGGTAGAGAGACAAGGAAAACAGAGAATTTCAATTCTAGGTGGGGAGTGCGCATGAGAGATTACGTATAGAGGAACACAGCGTTGAACATGTAGCCCAAATGTGAGTTCAGGAAGGAATTCCTGGGAGAGATGATGATGTCAGACGTGAAGCAAAGCATGAGGAAGATAAAGAAAGGTACAATTTCCAATACCACCGATAATCAATTAGAAAATATTATGAAAAAAAGTATCTGGACAGGAAAAAATAACCACAAAGCATCTAAGAATAATTCTAACAAAAAATATACAGACTACATGAAGACAATTAAGGAAACCTTTCCTAAAGGATTAAAAAACCTAAATACATACACACACACAAAACCACATTATTTTTCTGGCTACAAAGTATTATAAAACTGTCCTCACCTAAATTAAGCCATAAATACAATGTAATCCCACTCGAACTCCCAACAGGATTTGACAATCTAATTTTTTTTTTTTTTTTGGATACAGAGTCTCACTCTGTCACCTGGACTAGAGTGTAGTGGCATCATCACAGTTCACTACAACCTCAAACTTCTAGGCTCAAGAGATCCTCCTGCCTCAGCCTCCAGAGTAGCTGGGACTACAGAATAGCTGGGACTACAGGCACGTGCCATGAAGCCTGGCTAATTTTTCTATTTTTTGTAGGGTAACCCTAACCCTAATTTATTATTTTTTTCCAACTCCAGCCTTGCTTTATTGCTCAGGCTGGTCTTGAACTCCTGACCTCAAGCAATCCTCCTGCCTCGGCCTCCCAAGAATGCTAGGATTACAAAGGCATAAGCCACCATGCCCAGCAACAAGCTGATTCTAAAGTTTATCTGAAGGAAAAAATGTACAAAAAAATAGCCAAGAGAATTAAAACAAAAAAAATTGCACCAAAGGGTCTCAGTTCTATCAGACAATTAAATATATTACCAAGCTACTACAATAATTTTAAAATGTGTTATTAATGCAGGAATGATCAATCTGCCAATTTGTAAACAAGAAAATTAACATAGGACAATTTATTTTGCAAATCATGGTGAGAAGGATTGGGGACTGTTGGAACATTCAGGAAAAATATTATAACTTTACACTATACATGAAAATAAATTCTAGGCCAGGCACGGTGGCTCACGCCTGTAATCCTAGCACTCTGAGAGGCCGAGGAGGGTGGATCCTTCAAGGTCAGGAGTTCAAAACCAGCCTGAGCAAGACCCCACTTCTACTAAAAATAGAAAGAAACTAATTGACCAACTAAAAATATATATATATACAAAAAAATGAGCCAGGCATGGTGGCGCATGCCTGTAGTCCCAGCTACTCGGGAGGCTGAGGCAGGAGGATTGCTTGAGCCCAGGAGATTGAGGTTGCTGTGAACTAGGCTGATGCCACGACACTCATTCTAGCCTGGGCAACAAAGTGAGACTCTGTGTCAAAAAAAAAAAAAGAAAGAAAAGGAAAGGAAAGGAAAGGAAAGAGGAAAGGAAAGAGGAAAGGAAAGAGGGAAAGGAAAGAGGAAAGGAAAGGAAAGGAAAGGAAAGGAAAGGAAAGGAAAGGAAAGGAAAGGAAAGGAAAGAAAAGAAAATTCCAAATGGATTCAGATCTAAATGTAAAAAGGAAAAATTACAAACGTAATAGAACTAGATACAGATGAGTATTTTTATATTCTTGCCTTGGAGAAACATTTCCTATGCAAGAGACAAAACTCATAGGATACACATGACAAATCTGACTACAAAAATAATTTAAACTTCTTCATACAAGAATATACTATAAACCTGAACTCCAAAACTGGTGCTCTTGAGGCCAGGCCTGGGCAACATTTTGTTTGGTCTACGACAGAGGTCCCCAACCTATGGTGAGTTGTATAATCATTTCATCACATACTGCAATGTAATAATAATAAAGTGCACAATAAATACAATGCATTTAAATCATCCCAAAACTATCCCCCCACTCCCCAGTCCGTGGAAAATTTGTCTTCCATGAAAACAGTCCCTGGTGCCAAAAAGGTTGGAGACCACTGGTCTACAGGTTTTTGTTGTTGATGATCATTTGTTTTTTAAATGGAGTAAGCTGCCAACATTTAAAAATTGTGATATTTGGATGTATGGCAACACCATTTCCTCACTTTCACTTGGAAATAGCCAGCTGTGGCTGAGAGGCGGGGCAGTAGAGCTCTGGTTCATCATAACTCCACCCACCCCTCTACTCCCTGACAGGCTTCACCTGCCTGGCCGCTTTGAGACTTCATTTTTGCAATCTACGGAAAAACAGAGGCATGAGAAAACATATGCAAATGACATAACAGACAGGACTTTAATATCTGGTAAACATATTTAGATCTTCTAAGATGAATGTGAAAAAGATATGCCAATGTTTAGAAAACTGGAGAAGACCATCAACAAAAGAAATACAAATGGCCAATAACCGTGAAAGAATGAGTAGTCTCTCTTCTAATCAGGGAAAACCACACCAGTGTTTTTGCCCATTAGATTCTGAAAAAACGATGATACTATCTTGTCTTGGCAAGAGTATACGGGACTGGCAAGCTCAGACACCGTTGATGAGAGAGGAAATTAGAACAATGTTTTGGTGGGTGATTTGGCAACAAATTTAATCATGCATACACTTTGTCCCATCTACCCAGGAAATGTAGGAATTTGACATATGGAACTAACTCCTATATGCCTACTTACTAAGATATATACACACACACACCAGGATGTTCAGTATAACATTGTTTATAATGCTGAATGGAAGGGCCAGGCGTGGTGGCTCACGCCTATAATCCTAGTACTCTGGGAGGCCGAGGTGGGCAGATTGCTCGAGGGCAGGAGTTCAAAACCAGCCAGAGCGAGACCCCGTCTCTACTAAAAATAGAAAGAAATTAATTGACCAACTAAAAATATATATACAAAAGATTAGCCGGGCATGGTGGTACATGTCTGTAGTTCCAGCTACTCGGGAGGCTGAGGCAGTAGGATCCCTTAAGCCCAGGAGATTGAGGTTGCTGTGAGCTAGGCTGACGCCATGGCACTCACTCTAGCCTGGGCAACAAAGTGAGACTCTGTCTCCAAAAAAAAAAAAAATGGTGAATGGAAGCGACCTAAATGTTCATGTATAAGTGAAATGCTAATTTTCAGTACTGCCATAGGCTGGAGTGCTACACAGCCATTAACTGGAGTAAGACAGATCTGCATTTGTTGACACAGGGAAAACTCTCAGATACAATATGCTATTAAGTGGAAATAGCAAGTGTCATAAAAAATTAACATAATCTAGTCCATTTTAGAGAAAAAATAAGTATGTATAAGGTGATACACACCTCCAAATGCACATGAATATACATATATATTTTTGCCGTTGTTAAGCACCATCAACATACTTATACAGTTAACCCTTGAAAACATGGGTTTGCACTGCAGGGATCCACTAATACCGATTTTCCTCCACCTCTGCCACCCTGGAGCAGCAAGACCAACCCCTCCTCTGCCTCCTCCTCCTCAGCCTACTCAACGTGAAGACGACCAGGATGAAGGCCTTCATGATGGCCCATTTCCACTTAAGAGTAAATATATTTTCTCTTCCTTATGATTTTAATAACATTTTTTTCTCTAGCTTACTTTATTGTAAGAATACAGTATATATAATACACAAAATATGTGTTAATCAATTGTTTATGTTACCAGTAAGGCTTCCCAGTCAACAGTAGGTTATTAATAGTTAAATTTTGGGGGGAGTCAAAAGTTATATGCAGATTTTTGACAGTGCAGGGGTGAGTGCCCCTAACCCCATATTGTTTAAGGGTCAACTGTATTTATATAAGTATATAGTTTATAAATGTTTGCACATTTATAATACATAAATAGAACATACATCTGTAGATACACTTAATGCTTTTTATTCTGTAGTTTTTTGTGTGTGTCATCTGCAGTTTTTCTAAGAAGCATGTATTCATGCATTACTTGAAAGCTTGTTTTTTTTGAAGAGGACAGAAAGGGCATTCTTAGGGGGAAAAAAAAAAAGACAAAGATGACCAAGGATTTCTGAAGAAAAAAAAAAAAGAACTCTGTGAGGAGTTTAGAGTTGTGGCGCTAAGGGTGGCATGTTGAGTACTGACTGATGTCACTGGAGACGCATGTTGAAAAGGAGACAGAGGACCCAGGACCACTATCCTGACTTAATCTGAGCACCACCCTAACTACTGAACGTTTCTTAGTTGTTTCAATTAAAGCTCTTAGAATGTGTTTGATAATAACACTTGTGGCCGGGCATGGTGGCTTATGCCTATAATCCTAGCACTTTGGGAGGCCAAAGCGGGCGGATTGCTCAAGGTCAGGAGTTCGAAACCAGCCTGAGCAAGACCCCGTCTCTACCAAAAATAGAAATAAATTATTGACCAACTAAAATATATATACAAAAAATTAGCCAGGCATGGTGGCGCATGCCTGTAGTCCCAGCTACTCGGGAGGCTGAGGCAGTAGGATCGCTGAGCCCCGGAGATTGAGGTTGCTCTGGGCCAGGCTGACACGCCACGGCACTCACTCTAGCCTGGGCAACAAAGTGAGACTCTGTCTCAAAAAAATAAATAAATAAATAACACTTGTTATACCAAATTTTAAATACAGTATCATCTCAATGATGTAATTAGTGCATTGAGAAGGGGCTGGAAGATGATATGCCAACCTCTAGTTATGGCCTCTAGGCGGAGGGAGTAAGAGTGAAAGCCTTTCTGCTTCTTCGTCCTTTTTCCAGTTTTTTATAACTATGTATTATTTTTATCAGAAAAAGAAGCATACTTTCCAAAATGAATTTTATATTATAGTAGAAATGAAGCCAACATTCCCCAAATAACCCCTGGCCTAGGGACCCTCAAGTAACTATGTGTAAAGGATTCTCCATTACTGCTGGGACTCTGCCTAGCTGTGAGTCCCCCGACTCCTTCCTCCAACATCAGGGCAGGGACCAGGGTGGGGCTAGAGATGGAAGCAGGTGGATGGGAAGAAAGGGTATCCAGTCCTTTTTTGGGACGGGTGGTACATTGATTCTTCTCCACACTTCTGAATGGCTCTCAGGCCCCCTGGGCCCTACCATCTTTATTTCCTACCAACTTTTCTTTTATTTGTTCTTTGCTCGTGTTTTCATACTCCTTTCCTAACTCCTTTCCTTACTTCCCCGACCCCCTCCCCAAGCTTCTCCTTTTCTTTCTCTTTCTTCAAATTACTCATGTTCATGGCTGGAGAGATTTGCAGGATAGGAAGGGAGAAGGTTGGGGTGGGTGGAAATACTCCAGTTCTGCAGTTGACCACTGCCAGGCTCAAGCTTTGGGTCAATGATACCTGTCTGGGAAAGAAGTGAGAAGCAAAAGAGAAGATAAAAAAATAAATAAATAAATAAGAAAGGCAATCCTACAGGGCAAATATTAATCACTTCCTAATGATTATCTCCTGATCACTGACTTGTGCCCAAGTGTGGAAGGCTTCAAAGTCACGGACAACAAAAACGTCCCCCAGAGTCAGTGCCACACACTGTTCAACGTGCCATCATAATCAGGATCAGATCCTAAAAAGTGAACATAAAAAAAAAAAATTAAGGAGTTTTCTTTTAAAGTATCCTTCTTGGAAAACGCAGCATCTTTTTTCCACTAGGATAATGGAGGCAAAGAAAGCAGTTTTGCTAAAGGCACAATACCTGCAAGGAAACCACTCAGCTAGTTGACCTCACTGGGGCCTCCTCCTTGTAAGTTCTAAGTTCACTGGGAACTTTGCCAGGCTCAAAGCCAGCGAACTCCTGAAGATGTCATTCCCACCTCAGCACAATCTCCCTGACCGCTCAGTAAACACTGGGGAGGAGTGGATTCACACACAAGTGAATGGATGAGAAAGCAGCAGCACTCTGCAGGGGTGCTTACCTCTTCTGGTTCATGGAGGCCACCTGCAGCCACTCATTGGTGCTGGGGTTGTAGGAATGCGCAGCAGAGATCTCCTGGCTAGTGATCCTGTACCCGCCCACTATGAAGAGGTAGTTGTCCAGGATGGCGGACCCATAACCCCTGACGTTCACCAGGTCGGGAGGAAGGTTGTTGGCCAGCGGGAACCAACGCTCAGTCATCTCCTCGTACCTGAGCATGGACGGGGGCTCCCCCTGGTAGGGGTGCGGGGCCAGGGGTCCTCCCAGGAAGTCCCCCAGTGCCACCAGGACAGGGGTCCCAGTCATCCGGCCCTCCCGCAGTCTCTGCTTCAGGCTGACGTCCCCGGGGGCTTGGGGAGGAGACCCCAGGAGGTGGAACTGGGGCTTGCACAGCACCTCGTGGAAGTGCACCACCATGAAGCGCAGGCAGGCCTCCTGCAGGTCGGGCAGCCCGTACACCTGCGCCAGGCGGTACATCTCCAGGCAGTTGTTGAGCCGCACTTGGGACAGCAGCAGCTGCAACAGGGACGTGACCTGCAGGAAGGAGGCCGCTTCCACGAGCTCGGACAGCAGGCTCCCCTCGTCCATCTCCTCCTCCTCCTCCACGGCCCCGCCCTTGTCCCCCCGCGGGCCCAAGAGCCAGCCTTCCCGGGCCCCGCCGGTGTTGATGAAGTCCAGCACCAGCCGCAGGCCCGGCGCGCTGAGGCCGCGCAGCTGCTGCACCTCCGGGCCGCCGGCCTCCTGGCCCCGGGCCTCGCGCATGCCGGAGCGGTAGAGCGCGCGGAAGTAGTCGCTCTGCTCGATGAGCTTTCTCTTGCTCACCGGGTAGCAGCGGTCCTCCAGGCGGATCTGCACCATCTCCTCGGCCGACATGGCTGGGGGCCGGGCGGCGGGGCTTCCCGCCCGCGGCGCGCGAGGAGCGGGGAGGAGAAGGGCGGCCCGCTGCCGCGCGCGCCCGGCCGGCCTGGCGGCCCCTCCTCCTGTGCCGGCGGCGGCGGCCCTGCCCTGCCGGCCTCCCTCGGCGCCAAGAAAGGGCGGCTGGCGCGCCGGGCGTCCTGGCTCGGGCGCTCCCGGGCGGCGGCAGGCGGGGAGGGAACCCCAACCCCCAGCCCGCAGCCTCCTCCTCCTCCTCCCCCGCCGCGCTCCGCACTTCCGCCCGCGGGACGCCGGCCGCCCGCGGGACCTGCCGGCCGGATCCGGCTCTCGGGGCGGCCTGGGAGGCTGCAGGCCTCGGCGCCGGGGCTGCGGGCGCGCGGGCGGCGGGGAGCGGGAGGGCGCGCGTGCCCGCAGCCTCCCCGCACGCCGGGGCGCACCGCGGGGCCGGGGCTGCGGCGATGCTCGGGGTACGGGAGGGAGCGTGAAGCCAGCCTGCTCGCTCTTCCACGCTGCTTTACTAGGGCGAAAGAGAAAAAAAAAGAGTGTTGGGGGAAAGGGACGAAGGGAGGCTCGGGTGGAGAGAATCAAAAAGACATCACACCTGGGGGCGCCCTCCTGGCCCCGTCTGACATCGTGTCTCAGTGGGCTGAGGCACGCAGGCCGTCTCTGGGCAATTTGGTGGCACCTACAGCTGACTGTCTGATAGGGTCCTTGTGTAGGAGCCATCTCACAGACGGTCCAGGCAGGTGGCAGCAGGGTCTGCAGGGCCCAGCGCCTGGGTGCGGGGCGCACACACGGACAGGGTTGGGAAGCAGGGGAGCTTGCATTTGCTGCTGCGGGTCGCTGTCCTCTCTCTGTTATTGAAAGAAAGATGAAAGTACAGCTCCACTAAATAAAGTTACATCACGTGCCTTTCTGTTTTAAAATCATATTTTGTAATGGCCATTGCTTTTCCTACTCCAGTTGGGTCGGGCTAGCCATTAGGGAATGCTATCTTGGGCAGAAGGTGTGGCCGCTTTTGCGCTATTTGCCTACAGAGGTGGCTTTTCTTGCCACCTCTTACTCTACCTGCTGGCCGAATTGTCAGGACTACCAAGAGACACCACTTCTTCCCCATCTTCTCTCACTGAACATTGCAGTTAGAAGGCTTACCCCAAATAATAATAGGAAGGATTATTATGCTCATGGATTAATCCCATAACAAAGGAGAGAAAAATATTGTCAGACTACCTTTGGGTAGAAGGAGAGACAAAGACTGGGAGGAAGCAGAGGGTGTGTTCGCTCTTATTTTACAAAAATATCTTGAAGAAATGTTCGCCAGCCTAAAGATTTGAGAAACATCTAGAATAGTCGTTGGAGATGTGTTTAGATTTTTTTTTTTCTACTTACAAGCTTCAGCTTTCTTCTTGAATGATCAATTGTTAAATAGGCTGGGTGCGGTGGCTCACGCCTGTAATCTTAGCACTCTGGGAGGCCTAAGAGGGAGGATCATATGAGCTCAGGAGTTCGAGACCAACCTGAGAAAGAGTGAGACCACGTCTCTACTAAAAGAATAGAAATTAGCTGGGCTAATTTCTAAAATTTCTCTGATTTCTAAAATTTCTCTAAAAATATATAGAGAAAAAATTAGCTGGGGATAGTGGAGCATGCCTGTAATCCCAGCTACTCCGGAGGCTGAGGTGGAAGGATTGCTTGAGCCCAGGAGTTTGAGGTTGCTGTAAGCTAGGCTGATGCCAGGGCACTCTAGCCTGGGCAACAGAGTGAAACTCTGTTTCAAAAAAAAAAAAGTTGTTAAATAATCTTTTCTTCATAAGTACATTTCCTCTATGCTGATTAACATTTTATATTAGGAAGGAGGAAGGATTAACAACCAGAGAAGAAAAGAAAATCATATAGATAAAACAGAAAGCCTTTCAACAACACACTGGTTACATTTGTGCTTTTTTTTTTTTTTTTTTTTGAGAGTCTTTGTAGCCCAGGCTAGAGTACAGCCCTGCAATCAATCACTGTTCACTGCAGTCTTGAACTCCTGTACTCATCCCATTTCAGCCTCCAGAGTAGCTAGGACTACAGGCATACACCATCACATCCAGCTAATTTTATTATTATTATTATTATTATTATTTTGTAGAGAAAGGATCTCATTTTGTTGCCTAGGCTGGTCTCGAACTCCTGGGCTCAAGTGATTCTCCTGCAGTGGCCTCCCAAAGCTGCACCCGGCCCCATCTGTGCTTCTTACTATGTAATTGAGTGGATTCACAGTAAGGTGTTGTCATCCATTATCTTCCTTATAATACAACAGGGATAAGGAACTAAAATTTATAAGAGAAAAAATTCTAGTAGATTCCGGCCTCCTTGAAAAAATTGAAGGAAACAAAAATGGATCTATGACTGGTCTAATTAAATGTCCAGCTCTTCACCTTGTTCCACCTGGCCTTTAAATCATTTCTGATAAGACTCCATTTTCACAGGGACTTCTCTCACACGTCCATTCTCAATGACGGTGCAGTGAGACATTGTAAGCTTTGGTGGGAAGGGGAAATGATCATGGATTTAGCAGCCTCTTTGGGAAGGGGAAGTATAACATCTAGTATTAGGCATTAGGCTGGGGGACTTTTGCTGGGAGGTGCCCCAGTATCAAAAAGGCTTGGACCTGGGATTTGTTTGTGCCTCAGTCAGTGACAAATGCCAGATTCAGTGGGTCAGCCATGAAGAACAGGCCCTTAGTCTCCTCTGTCTCTAGAATCTTTTACTAATGGCTGCTTTTGCTTCCCGACTGTCATAGATATGCCTCAGACTGGTATTTTCTTGCCTTTTTAAAAGAGGCCGAAATCATCCTCAAAGAATGACGTGCTTCAGAAAGCAGTTCAAACACAGTAATATTATCAGCTCAAAATCAGATTGGACAGGGAGCCTGGAGTGGTAGTCCGACAATACTAGGTACTGATCCTACAAGCTTTCTGGCTCCTGACATGACAATAACGTCACTTAGGCCTAGGAGCATCTTAAACGATCAGATCATTTTAATAAGTTACACAGTAAGCTTTCTATTAAACTAGAAATGCAAAGCCAAAGCAATGTAAACTACTTTATTTACAAAGACCTACAATAACTACAGGCATACACCATCACATCCAGCTAATTTTATTATTATTATTATTATGTTGTAGAGAAAGGATCTCATTTTGTTGCCTAGGCTGGTCTCGAACTCCTGGGCTCAAGTGATTCTCCTGCAGCAGCCTCCCAAAGCTGCACCCAGCCTTCAATATTATTTCCAGACTTCATGAAAATATTGCTTTATGTAACTGGAGATATAATTTTATAGATCCATCATTGATAATTGAATACTAAAGACTGGCCTTTATGATACTATGATCAAGCACTTTATATCACCATCTGCTTTACAAAAGACTAAAGTCAGAGTCAGACTCAGGCAATTTTTCAAAGAATTTTTGGAAAATACACCTTTTGACCTGGCGAGTGCAAAAAAATCTTAGTACAAGATGTTTTTCACAGTATTGCTTTTAATAATAAAAAACTGGAAAACAACAATGTATAATAGCTAATATTTATTGAGTTTACTATGCGCCAGGCACTGTTGTGCATGCTTTACAAGAATTACAACACTATTTTTATAATATTTTATGGCATGACAGGGTGTGGTGGCTCATTCCTATAATCCCAGCACTTTGGGAGGCTGAGGTGGGAGGATCACTTGAGATCAGGATTTCGAGAACAGTCTGGGCTAAAGAAGGAGGCCTTGTCTCAAAAAAAATTTTTTTTGCAGCTGAGGAAGCTAAGTTGCAGAGTACATTTTGGTATAGTAGAATGAAATACCATAGAGCCATTATAACTTTTAATGTAGATCTTTCTTTAGAGGAACTGAAAAATTTTATATTAAGTTGTATTTAAAAAAAGATTCTGGAACAGTATAATTCCATTTAGGTAAAACTATATACTGTTAAATAAAATTTATAGGAGAGGCCGGGCGCGGTGGCTCACGCCTGTAATCCTGGGAGGCCGAGGCGGGTGGATTGCTGGAGGTCAGGAGTTCGAAACCAGCCTGAGCAAGAGCGAGGCGCCGTCTCTACTATAAATAGAAAGAAATTAATTGGCCAACTAATATATATAGAAAAAATTAGCCGGGCATGGTGGCGCATTCCTGTAGTCCCAAGTACTCGGGAGGCTGAGGCAGAAGGATTGCTTGAGCCCAGGAGTTTGAGGCTGTGAGCTAGGCTGACGCCATGGCACTCACTCTAGCCTGGGCAACAAAGCGAGACTCTGTCTCAAAAAAAAAAAAAATTTATAGGAGGTCATTGGTTTAAACTGACTCCTGCACTAGACCCAACAGACCAAACCAAAATGAAGTTAATTATGCTGCAGTTCCTCACCACTGGCCAAGACTAAGATCTCATCAGAAGAGAGATAATAGCCAGATCCCCAAGCCCACCAGTTTTAGCCAGCATGATAAGGAAGGGCCCTCTGCTTTAACTTTTACCAAAATGTTACTTTAAATGACCGCTCTGCTTTTTGTTTTCCATTTTTGCTTTCCTTGGCTCTTTTCTATCAATAAAGCCCACCTCCTCTGCTGAGCTCATTGGATTTTATAGGATGAAGTGTTGCTCAATTCTAAAATCACAAATAAAAGCCAATTAAGATCTTTAAACTAAATTTGTTATACTTTTGTCTTTTGACACTTTACATATTTTTAAGTAGCAATATCCACAAAAATGTTTGCCAAGATGTTAAGATTGTAAGAGCTTGAATAGTTTTTATTTCTTTTTGTAGTTTTCTCTGTGGTTTGCATTCTTAAAGTGAACATATACCAATTTATTATAATAAGAGCAAAAAAGATTTTAAATAAAAATTAATGACATAATTAAAATTTTGAAGCCCTATTTTAAAAAGTAATAGCCATGAATTTTATCACAAATGAAATGAAAATGTTAAGTATATAATATAATTTGCAATTTTAAAATACAGGTGAAATATTGTCTATTTTCCAAATGTCTTTTGAATTTAGTAAACCTATGCTATTACTTCACTACCACTTAAAAATTATTTATTTCTGGATTTTTAGTTCCTCCAATATTTCTAAAACAACTTTATTTCTTTTTGTTTTTTAACAAGCAAAACTGAAATACTTTCCATTTGTCAAAGCTTACAAAGTGATTTAAGTGAGATAAAAGTAGTACGAGGTCTTAAAAATGGCTCTATTTAGGCAAAACT